GGGGGAAACAAATAATAATTTATTTTTGTGCTTTCTTTTTATTTTATTTTCGTTTGTTAAATTGTCAAGCCAGTAATTATACAGGTTATAAATTAATAGACACCAAGAAAAAAAAATCGAGTTTTAAATAGAGGAAATGAGGGTAATTCGCAATACTGTTGGTAATTTGGAATACTCACTTATTGAAGCTATGCGTGGCGTTATGTATTTAAATATGGTATAAACTACTAGTTGGGCTTGTATTTAGTAAACAACAGATTTTGTAGTTATTTAAATTTATAGTACAGAGCAAAAATATGTGCACAAATAATTGTGACGGGACAAAACGCTTTTAGAGGAATTTAAATCTGATTTTTTATTTAAATTAATTTTGATTGGGTCTACAGGTAAGTATTGGTTTATATTTTAATTTGTTAAATGTATTTTTTCAATATGTTCATGCATATATATTTTTTGCGGATTATGGCGTAGGTCTTCATGTCGCTAATTTGGAATACTATAACTGATGCAAATTTAGTTATAGTATGATGCAAATTTAGTTATAGAGAACGTTTAGTCCAAATTATGTTATTCTTGCTGTTTTTTGATTCTACAATATATGTAAATTTCTTTGGTACGCACTGTAGCTCAACCTGGTTGATGTATTTTAACATATAAGGTGTCCGGTGTCAATAGATGTGTCTTAATCTGATCTTAATTGTAGGAGAGATATAGGGTAACAGAACAGGAGCATAAATCAGAAGAGAAGAACCAATAGGGAATCTAATGCAAGCTGAATTGTTTCGACCTCCTCAGAACTCGCTCTAGAATTTGATTTAAGTAGAGAGCTAGAAGAGAACGTAGCTTTGTTCCGGTTCTTGTTATTTCCGATTTTGAACGTCCCAGAACTCTGCCGCGCATGCGCAAATGAAGGGATCAGTGCCTCACATGCGAATCATGAGTGCAGTCTGTGTCGGATATGACGCCGGAACGTATATATGTGCGACTACTGTAAATATTTTATCTAATTTTCTTTTTTAATTAATATTTGGATACGTTTTAATCAACGTTTTATTTACCTTTTTAATATAAACAACATATATCTGATGCTATTTTGGTGGTATTCCAAATTATCTGCATGTTACGTCGACAGAGATATTTTGCACTTTTTTTTTCACGAGTGAAAAAGTCCAAAAATTTTTAAATACTTTGGAACTTTCGTATGGTATTCAACATATATAATATGTAGATCTACGCTATTTATTTTATTTAATTTCTTACTGAATTAATATAAGCTTACATCGTCTTGTTTATGCTAACCGTAAATGGAGTTATAACTCCCTTGGGATACTACTAACGAGAATTTTAAGATGCCATGATTCCCTCTATCTTTTATAGGTAACAACTATGATGTACAATAGGGATTTTGAGTAATAATATAAAATGAAAATGGACACTGACTTCTTGTACACTTTGCACTAAAAGAGGTTCTCAAAAGAACAATGTTCGACTGCAAGGTCTGTTAGTAAAAAGCTAGTCAGCTTAAAGTATCACAACACTATTTATTAAAATCAAAAACTCGTAATACAAAACTAAAGTGTCAAAACAAATGACAATGTCAGAAAATAAATAAATGTGGCAACTTGACATTTTTTACAGCAGAGCTACCACCTGAATCACGAGCGGGAAATTTAAATTCCAGTTAGTCAGCCCGGCGCCGAATATGTCTATGGTTGGCAACAATTAATTTAAAAATTGCGCCCTCGATTACGTAACTGAAAGTTTAATTGGTATCAAATATACATCATTAATGTCACATATAAAAAATAGTTTTAGAGAAAACTAAAAAAATATGAAAATTTGGTTGATTTTTTGAATGTGGTAATATAACGTTGTTTTCATTTTTTAATAGATTATGGATAGATTATTTAGAGAATTCTAATTAACGACATATTTTTGCTGTTTTAAAATGTTAAAAAAGCATAAAATTTATTTAGTTCGATTTAGTTCGGGTGATATTAGTTATTGGAAAATGTGATACTTTAACAACAGCAAACAAAATGACAATAATCAAAATTTAAAATAACCATTTCTCAAAGAATTCAATCGAAATTATATTACCATAGGACTTTACAAATTTAAACCGTAACAAATTTGCTAAAATACCTGATTCTCGATTCTAGAATGAGAAATAATTTGCTAGGTTGGATATTATACAAAGAGCTATATTAATAATACTATAGATTTCATGAAAAGCCAAACAGATAAAAGAAAACAAACTTAGCAACTTTTTAAATTGTCTCATCAATTTGAACATCGACAAATATTAGCTTTATCTTTATTAAAACTCCAAATTTAAGAGGAAACTTTTTCAAAACTTTTGCAGATTTAGACGAAACTCACTAAATTTTGATTTAGACTCTTTCTTTCCTGGGTTTCTCTACTCATTTATCAGAAAAACACTTATACAGGCCCAGGTCAATTACTATCTATTCACGTTTCCTAACATTACATATTACATGCATGTACGAAGTGCTCCAAACTTGGCATCCAAACTTATCTTAGACCAAACTTAATCATAGAGACAGAAAAAAACTTTTTAGGTAAAATATATAAAAATATGTACTTGTCAAATATAAAAAAGCGACTACACCATTCCTGTTTATTGATAGTACAGTCAATCTGGCATCAAAAAAGGTACTCGAAAAAGTACTTCAGAACTTACGACCGAGAAAAATCAAAGGCTTTCCTCGATTTAAGTAAAAACAATCTTGGGATTGTCTCCTCAACGAACACCTCAGTAGGCACAACGGCGAATGCAGATTCTGTGGGGAAAATGGCAAAAACACCAGAACACCTTTTCAACTTTGGTACGGCTGATGTCAAGGATGGAGAGCTGGTCTCTGTGGAGCCGTCTCAGATATTGGCTTTTGTTAAAGCCCTGAGACTGTATGATGAGTTGGAACTCGTTATAACTCAAGAAAGGGGAACACACAATAGATCAGTAAGGTCGTGGTGATTAACTTCCCTCCTAAACATTCTACATTCTACATCAAAAAAGGTCTAGAAACCCATCAAATTACCCCCGCTCTCATATTTCTCAGTCCTAAGTGGTCCACTGGAAAAGCTTGAATTCGAAAATTCGTATTCCCCCCACCCCACCGTTTTTGAGAAACACAAAAAAATGTTTGGTTAGGATTCAATTTTCTGACTGAACCGTAGATCCCACAGAAAACATTTTAATTTCTAAGTAACAAACTTCTAAAACCTACAGGGATTAAGTTAGAGGGCACCAAAGTCACTTAAACCCAGTCTTGTATATTTCCGAATTAAAAATAATCATACAGAAAGTTTGAAGCTTTTTGGTTTTACCTTATTAAGTAATTGTTATCAGGTAGAAATTGTTAATTTTGTAATTTAGGTAACTTGATATAATGTCATTTTAACAAAACGCCAACGGTTTTTGTAGACGTATCTGTTTAAAAAAAAAACGAAAGTGTTCTCGAATAGTTGCAGTTATATATTTTAAATAGTTTTTTCTTTGTATTTTTTTTGCTTCCGACGCAACGACGGAAAGAGATATACAGTGCTTTTAGATGGAGCGGACCGTAAGCGCGGAGCGTCCGCGCGGGCGAATGTTTTTTCAGTATAGCTCATCCGAACGGAGCATACGCGATCCATGGGAAATCGTGCATATAAACTCATGGTACTTGCTCAAAGTCGCGGACGGTTCGTCGCGGATGCTCCGCTCCATCTGAAAACGCTGATACTTTCCAAAACGTTAAGGATTTTTTGTCCGTTAGGCAAATTTGTTTATTAGTAAGCCACTGCTGGAAATTAAGGTAGTATCACACATAGCTACTTTTGTTGCGCAGCACATTAAAAAAACTGCGCAACTTGATCTGCTGCAAGTGTGAATACCTAGGCAACCTGCAACGTCGCGATCGCAGCTTGGCTGCGTAGGCTACTTTTATGTTGCGCGCAGTTTAAGAGATTGCCGTGTGTGAACAATTGTTGAGAAAGGTTGGAAGTGCAGCAGAAGATTATTAATCAGTTGAAACTTTTACTGCGAACATCAGAGCAGTATTCTGTTGGCCGAAATGTATACATATTTTTTCAGTTAACTCCAGGATTTATATGTAGATATTTAGTAAAGAATTAATCGACAAATTGCGATGTCGTAGAAGTCAAAACAAGCGATTACATATGCCCGATGAAGACTTAAAAAAGAAAATTCACACGTTGCGTGCACAATATTCGAAAGAACGTTCAAAAATGAAAAGTTCCAAATCCGGTTGGGTGGTGTACTGTTGAATGTTGCCCCTCCAAGGCTGCGGCTACCAAAATATGTTTCAAAAGTAGCGCTTTGGTGTGAACATATGAAATGAATGCATGTAGTGTCGACCTGCAACTTTTTTGGGCAGCTGCTGCATAAAAACTGCGCGTGTTGGGCTACTTTCTGCTGGTGTATGAACACTGTATGCAACTTTTGCAGCGGCTGCAAAAAAAAAATTGCGTAAACAAAGTAGCTGTGTCTGATACTACTTTTAGTCTCCGTTGGATTAACGCCAGCAGTGTTTACAAAAAATAACTATTTTATTTTGTAGATTTGCCATAGAGATATAAACATTTTTTCCATCTCAGTGTATAAATAAATCAAAATTCGTCAGATTTTAAAATTAAAATTTATATATCTACCATAAATACAAACTCAGCTTTTATCAATACACCTCTCAAAAATGATGCTGCTGCTACAATACGTATAAAGAATAATTTCTCTAAAAATAAAATTCTATTTATTTTTCAATAAGTTGCGAAGGAAAAATGATACTTCCCTTGTCGCTTGTAAAAGCACCCATTCGATAGTTCCGTTCGCTAAAAAATATCTATAAAGCTTCCTGTTTATTTAGCCGCTTCCTAGGTACGTACGTACGTAAGGTTTCCAGAAAATAAACATCGCAGCGGTGATATACCGGCAGAATGTCGAGTAGGTAGTGATTTTCTATTTTCTATTTTTCCAGGATGTTTTCAATCCTCTCTGCAAAGTCGTAGACCTCCCTTTGGAATAGAAATCGGAAGAAACAGGAGAAACAAGAAAAGAAAAGAGTTCTTAGGAGGTGAGTTACCTTTTTTTTTATTTATTATACAGTGTCCGGTAATAGCGCGTCGGGCATCTGTAGCTCCTATAATAAAAAAAAACTTAGGAATTTTTTATTATAAGTGCAAACCTAAAGCATGTATTAGGACGTATTTAAGGAAAATATTTTAACTTCTACAGATAACCTATATAATAAACCTTAACTGTATATAAATTATATACAATTTAAAAATATTTTTACGAGATACAGTGTCCCAAATAAGTAAAAAATATTATAGTTGTATTTTTTTCAACGGAACACCCTGTATATTATTCTATTTTTGGATTCTATGATTGAAATAAAGGTAAATTTGATTAAGGTTTACCATGCTTAAACATTACCGTTTTTCAAATATTTTCAATTTTCTGAAATTGCAGTAAAACTTTTAAGGCTTCATTTCTACAAGGGTATCAAAGTTTTTTATACTAAATATTTACTGAAGATTATTTATTGATCAGATATTGTGTTGTTATAATAAAAATTTGACCTTATACAGAGTGTCCAAAAATGTATATTAAATAATTACTAGCTTTAACCGGCAATAACTTGTTTAAATTAAATGAAACACCCTGTATATTTTACGTGAATCATATGCACAATTTAATTGTCTATCAAATTTGGTTGTACCATTTTTTACCTATCTCTTCAAGTTTTCGTAGAAAATGCATTTCCTTATAATTTAGACCTCATTTATCACTATACCCATGGAATATTGACATTTCAGATTTTTTTAAAGCAACATATATGTACAAAATATACAAGTGGTAAATATTGCAAGCCCACTGGTATACCAAAAAATTATTTAAATCTTGGAAAGGAGTACTTACCAATTAAATATACCACCATTATTTCCGACCAAAAATTAGTTAATTACGTACTTTTAAATTGTTTTAAATAATAAAATATTCTAAATAAATGTGGATTTGGCTTAGAAATCAATATAATAATAAGTTATGAAAATAAACGTCTCTGTTTTTATAAATAAGCATTCGTCAAAAAATGAAATATATAAAATTTATAAGATGTTTCTTTTTACCACACTGTCTAATACACACGCAAAATTCAGATTTTTAGTATTTGGACCAATTATTATTAATCAACGTAAACAGTCAATTAATGTAGTTTGCATACTGTGATCATATTAATTGGTCCTCAGTTCAAAACAGTTTTTTTTATTTTTTTAATGAAATAAGCGAACTATATTGACAATATTAGTATCTGTACTCTTTGAAAATTTGTTACATCTTTAAAAATAATATAAAATGTCAATATTCCATGGGTATAGTGATAAATGAGGTCTAAATTATAAGAAAATGCATTTTCTGAGAAAACTTGAAGAGATGGGTAAAAAATGGTATAATACAAGTTGATAGACAATTACGTTGTGCATCTGATTCACGTAAAATATATAGGGTGTTCCATTTAAATTAAACTAGTTATTGCCGTTTAAAGCTGGTAATTATTTAATATAAATTTTGGACACTCTGTATAAGGCAGTGAAATTTTTATTATTGCAACACAATATCTGATCAATAAATAATCTTCAGTAAATATTTAGTATTAAAAACTTTGATACCCTTGGAGAAATGAAGTCTTAAAATTTTTACTGCAATTTCATAAAATTGAGAATACTTCAAAAACGGTAAGATTTAAGTGTGATAAACCTTAATCAAATTTACCTTTATTTTAATCGTAGAATCTAAATAGAATAATATACAGGGAGTTCCATTTAAAAAAGACAACTATAATATTTTTTACTTATTTGGGACACTCTGTATCTTGTAAAAATATTTTTAAATTGTAGCTCTAATAGTCCTTCAACGAACCCAAAACTTACAATTTGTAAAAATCTAATCATTTAACTACAATATTCCGTGTCGTATGTGGTGAACAACCCTGTATATTTATTATAATTTTCTTCCAAGTACTTTTAGTGCTTCGAATGAAATTTTGAGAGTAAAAGTTACTATAAATGCGACATATTTTAAAGCTAAAAAAGTGTCGACATATTCACCAGGGACGTGCATATGGGTTATCACTGGAATATTTTTCGAAAAAATGCATGTACGCCACTGATGTTTTTTTCTCTTGTTAGCAAAATAGTGTGAGCAGTTTAATGCCGATTAAAAGTTGTCTCTTGATATTTTGTCGATTTCGGCCTTCTTGATGAGATAAATGCAATTTTATTAATTTGCCATGAACGAAGTTTTACTACCTGCGAAAGTTTTAAATAAGTACTCTTTAATTAATTCCTCAACAAAAAATATGAAAAAAAGTTCTTATAAACATGGGTATGGAAATGCATAGTTTTAGAGTTACAGGATGTTCAAACATTTTAAAATTAGGTTTTTGTAATTTTGTAAATTTGTAATTATCTTATCAGATTGGGTGAAAAGTTTTGTTCTTAAATATCTACTTTACATATTATAAACGCGTATTCAAATATCAATCTTGTGGAAAATATATCAACATAAAACGAGATGTAATTATACTGCCATTACTCGCTGACGAGTATTCGACACGCATCAAAAGATGGTCACGCAAGGCGTTTTCTTTAATGAGCTTTTCTGTGACTGAAAAGCCCGATACGTGATGTTATTTTCCTACCGCACTCCGGACATTCAAAAATCTCATTGCTTTGTTGCCTCTTTACTTTTTGGTTGTCGCTGTTAACTGAGTTTACAATTCTTCTTCATTGAGTTCTATTGTGAACTGCTTCCCAATGATTCTGCATGTTAATCCCCTTTAAGTTTCGTGCAAAATGTCCATGTACCTTTTGGATTGTCCACCCGGCCTCCTCTTACCGTCTACAAGCTCACCGTAAAGCAGAGATTTTGGTATGCGGTTTTCTTGCATTCTGCATACGTGACCAGCCCATCTTAAGCGGGATTTTGTAACCATGACTTCAATACTCTCGCAGTTAGCTTTTTCAAGGACCGATACGTTTGAGGCATGATGGAACCACCGGATTAAGAGTTGTCTAAGGTGTCTCTGTTGCAACTTGTTTAATGCCTTCGTGTGTCGACGGTACGGCACCCAGGTTTCGCTCCCATATAACATGGTGGGGATTATAATTGCACTGCCAGTTTCGTTTTTGTACTCAACTCATGATTGTAGAAAACCCTATCTTTTAATTTCCAGAATGCTCTTGAGGCGTTGCTAATTCTGTGCTGAATTTCACAGTCGATATTGGCCTTTTCCGAAATCAAACTGCCGAGGAATAAATTCCGCTACATTCCTCTCCGATTTTTACAGCATTGTTATGATCTTCCGAGGGAGTGCACATGATTTTGGTTTTGTCGATATTTAGCTTAAGGCCCAAAGTCTCGTATGCCCAGGTATATGTGTTCAACGTTTCTTGTAATTGTTGTAACGTGTTTGCAACTAGAGCGCAGTCATCAGCGTATTGAAGTTCTGTGATGAATTTTGTACGTGTATTTGCCCTCAGTCTTTTTATGTTGAACAGACCGCCGTCATATCTGTATCTAATGCCCAATCCTCTCTCCTGTAATTTGCTGTCCACTATAATGGAGAGCGCTGCCATGAATACGTTGAATAGAAGAGGCGCTAAGACACATGCCTGCCTAACTCCTGTATTAGTCAGGAAGGGATCGCTCAGTGATCCATGACGTGACACTCTTGACTGGTTGTTGTTATGGACGCTTTTACACACTGTAAGAAATTTGTTGGGTACTCCGAACTTTTTCAAAATTGCCCAAAGTGCATCTCTGTTCACAGAGTCGAAGGCTTTTGTTAGATCGATGAATGCAATATAAAGTTTAGACTGCTGTTCTTTTACTTTTTCCTGTAGTTGGTTGTTTTCTTGGTTAAGGATATGGCTGTAATGCTCTTTCCAGCGGTTTCTAATTTGCTCTTCCTCTTTTGGAAGTTCGCTATTTTGTGCTATGATTGGGCAGCTTACCTTCTTGGTTAGGCCGTATACTTCTTTAACAGCCTCAAAGAATTTACCATAATATCACCAAGAAATATCATCGTAACAACAGCTATTTTAGAAACGTCTAGGTTTACTTATTTCACTGAGATTTATGAAAAAAAAATCCTTTGCCTCGGGTACAGATACCGCCACGTTTTGGAAATAGCTCAAAACGAAACAAAATTGAACAAGGCAACAAAAAAACGCAAAAAAAATCTCGCAGGCCCTCCTCACGAGTAGTTTTCATGCGCTTTTAAGAATCGAAAGTAGGTCGAAACAAACCGAAGTGGGCGAAGATAACTGGAAATAAACCGAAATGCGACAAAGTTGGGCGACGAAACGACACCTTGATCTGCTTCGAAGAGTTCTCTGCATAGTGTAGAGGCTGTTTTAAATTTACTAGCTGTTAGTAAGAAGTTTCACTTCAAATATGAGCACATAGTGCCCACACAATTTTTTTATAAAAAAAAGAGTTTATAAAAAAGTGGTTTACAAATCTAAACATTTTATATACGTCATATTTCATAAAAAATATACACAATGCACAATGCGATTTTAACGCTTCGCATCAAAACCAGATTTAACGCTCCATCTTTCAAACTAAAAGGTCGTACGCTCGACGAATAAAGCATCGCAGTAAAATACTTCAACGCCCCGACAACGTAATAGAAATATGTTTTCCTAATCCAGGTCGCATCCGAACCAAGAGCGGGAAAGATGCGCCAGTATATATCACAAAAGCGCATTTTTCATGCGGATAAGGATATATATGTACATGCACTTCGCGGAACGTGACTATATTGTAAAATAGTGGCGGGCTTGGGCCTGCGTATCATTTTCCTGATAGATGACGGGAAAGAAAGGAGTCTAAATTAAAATTTAGTGAGTTTCGGAACAAACTTAGACTAGAGAAGTTTTTAAAAGTTTTCTCGTATATACTGAGCTTTAATAAATATAAGGCTGGTATTTGTCGATTTTAAAATGGATGGGAGAATTTCAAAAGTTGCATTGCAAGTTTATCTTGTGCTAGCTACCCTCTTAGTTT